AAGACTAAAATGTGTTTCAGCATCATAGTGAGAATAGACTGAGCCAAGACTTCAAGGTGTTTCAGTATCCTAGTGTAGAAGATATAGACTGAGTCAAGACTTCAAGGTGTTTCAGCATCATATTGAAGAAGATGATGGACAGAGCAAGGTTTGGAGATGCAGTGAAGAAGAGGACAGAATGCAGAAGATTATCACACCTTTACACCCCTTTGCCCTAAGAAGGGAAGTTGAGAAATTGTATTGAGGTTTTAAGCTGAGCTGTGAAATCTGCACAGTTTGGCCCAACACGTCTGATTTTTTACCCCTAATCATTGTTCAAAACATCCTTGTTGAGCTGGCAGTGGGTTTACCTCCCCCCCTCCTCCCCCCGCCCTTTCCAAATTGGGTACTTTAAACTCACACTCGAAACACGGCTGTGGGATATTTGTAAATGTGCATCACACAATTTTGTGAAAGTCTAAAGATAATAAGATACTTTTACATCTCAGGAAGAGGTGAACTAAATGAATGAATTACTGTTTCTTTTATTCTCTCATACTATCATTTGTTTTTACAGAAATGGGCACGCACTGATGGCATTCCGTCTTTCCCGAGTTTCATCTCCCTTGTTGGCCGACAAGACAATTGAGCTGGGCCACCACATCCTGAAGGCTCACATCTACAAGACGATCAGTCGCCAGCTTGGCTACTCATCCAGAGATATGCAAGCGTACTGGATGTGTCTCAGCTCTCGAAGTCTCAATGAAGCTCTGGTGTCCCACAGAAATATTTACTCACCAAATGTCAAAGTGAGTGCACAGATACTATCCTGTTAATTGTGGCTGTTCCCTGTGTGGGTTCCGGGACCCTATTATAGGAGGTTGTGGGGGGGGGGGGGGGGGGGGGGGGGGGGGGGGGGGGGGGGGAGAATAGACCCACTGCCTACCCCAAAAAATGTAAGAGTCGACTAATTGGGAGCTTTCTTCAAAGTCATAGTTCATCTGCCTGAGAGGCAAGGAACCAGCAATCTGCATACAAATGAGTCAGATCTGTAAAATGGATGCGCACGCAACACTCAGGTTCTGGAAAGGGACTGCAGTCCAAAAATGGATGAACAACCAGAGTTTACAGCTGGTAAACGCGAAGAATAAAGAAGAATAATTATGGCTGTTTCACTTGGTAATGACCATTGCCTTATGGATGCTGGTTGTTCATGTAAAAAATTCCTAGTCGGCTGGAAAGTGTAAGGAGCCGGCCTTACATGCCACTGCCCAGGAAAATAAAACTGCCGTACTGTCTCTGTTTACAACATTGGTGGTGCATATAGGGAGGGACTTTGAGTCTGAGGATTTAGGGCCACATGGTTAAGGCACTCACCACAGGTTAGGTGTTTATGTGACCGCCATGAAAACAATTTCACAATTAGATAATCAACACCTCAAATATAGGTCTAGCTGTTTATGCCCAATGTGCCTGAAGGTGTGGGAAAAGGGTCCTTTACTTTTCTTTGATGTGTAAAGGAATGTTCATAGTAGGCTTGAATCCTGATTAACAGAATTTGGGCTCGCTATTGGTGCTATGCAGTTTGTCATGCACACAATTTTGTTTTACACCTGCGGGTCTATCAGCTTGTTCATTTTCTTTTTACGAAGATTCAAAATAGTGACAGTGATGATTTTTAAGGATTATAGTGATGATAATTATGACATGATGATAGTTATAATAATTGCACTTATAATCCTTAATGAAGATAATTATGAACAGGATGACGATAGTGATGATAATATGTTTAAAGTACAATTTTCGGCAGTTGCTGATCTCACATCTGACATTCATTCTCTATCTGATCAGGTCAGTCGACTGATTCTGCTGTCAGGCGGAAACCCCAACTCTCGGACAGAGTATCTGAACAAAGCACCAATCTTGTGTGTGGCTGCCAGGGAAGGTTTTGCTGACATGGTGTCACTGCTGATGGAGTTTGGAGCAGACCCCAATGCAGCCTCGGAGACAGGGATGACGCCGTTGTGTCATGCTGCAGCCGCAGGTCACAGAGAGGTCATGAGAATGTTATGCTTAAAATATGCGCGGGTGAGAATAGTTGATGATTTTTGTGGTTGTTTTTTTTTGTTTGTTTTTGTATTCGCTCTTTAAATAGTGGTTGGCTCAGTTGTGTTGTGGTTTACAGCTAGGCCACACTAACTGGCACTTTTCAGACCAACACATCTGGTTTAAACAAACCCTTAATTAGTCGCCTTCTCTTTTCCTCTTCACAACCATTACCAGCAATAAACTCTAGCAAAAAGTTCTGGTTGTTTTGCTACTTTTGGACTTTAGTCTTGTTCCAGAACTTGAGTTTTCTATGCACATACATTTCACAGATCTGGCTAATTTGTATGCAGACTGTTGGTTTATTTCTTCTCACGCAGATCACTCTGATTTTCAAGGAAAATCCGAATTAGTTGACTCTTAGATCATGCTTGTTACTGAAACAGTGGGTATACTCTTCTTAATTTTCGATGAACCAGGGTTTTATTCCTGTGGCAGTTGTTTTAATGAAAGATTGTTCTCGTGGCTTTCAGAGAGTGGCATGACAATCGCACCATTTAACCTTTGTGCCCAGGGAACACTCTAAAAATAGATTTAAAATAGGTTACGCTGCTGTTAGAATTTCAGTAAAGAAATTTAAGGGTCACTAATAAATTTTTTAAAATGTATTTATCTACCTTACAAATGTTTTTAATATATATATATATAATCAATAAACATAAACAGGGTGAGTATTACATTAAATGCACACCTGGGCAGTGGGGAAAAACGTGTTTTGAGTGACACATTGCATGACCCGATGACCTTTATCACTAAGGCTTACAGGAAAACTGTTAAGTCAACTTGGCTTTAAAAAAACGCATATAGCTCAAAGATACATCCCCTTAAATGTTATTGTTAGTTAATGTATTCATATCATGACCTCCTAAATGGTAGTGCAGATGTAAAAACAGTCAGTCGCATTAACTGTGAGTTTTATAAACAAGTAACTGTAGACAGTTAGGAAAAGTGACATTTATGGGGAATTGGACCCAACTGAAGTGTCAGTTTTTCTGCTTCTCAGTGCAAGACAGTTGAAAGATTGAAAACTTACCATGAAGTATTCCCAAAGACCAGCAGTGAAGGCACTGCAGCCAACCTCTTTTGTGGAGATGGTACAACGTTTCATTTTTTTTTTTTTAAAACAAAAAAAATTACTCTAACAACTTCATGTTCTGTGTTGCTTCCAGCTGTCAGCACTAGACAATCAGCGACAGTGTGCTGTCATACATGCTGTCATTCATGGTCAGTTGGAGTCTCTGATGTTTCTGCTGCACCTCAACTGGGCTGTCATCACAGGGGAGCCGACCAAAGATGAAGCCATCACTCAGTGTTTTGTGGCGTCTGCTGCTACTGGCAATAGACAGGTTTGTGTGCGCTTTTGGCAATGTTTAGTGTTTGTGTGTGTGTGTGCACGCACACATGCCCATGCATGCATGTGTGTATGTATGAGAGAGAGAGATGAGCATGTGCAAAATACATGGTGTGCATGATTGTTTATAATGTGTGTGATGTATAGTTGTTATGATGATGTGATGTATCATCAGATCTTTTGCAGATCCTTTACAGAACCTGGCTTCCATCACAGCCCGCTTGAAAGAAACTCGGTCTCTCACCAGCATTCCTACCTCGTACACTTTCCTACTCAAGATGTCACTTATACCCTGTGCCCATCATCATGCTAGTAGGCCCCTGTTTCCTGGCACAGTGCCTTCTGTCACTATCCTTTCCAGTACATCGTGTCACTTGAAATGGCCAAATATTTCAGTTCTGAGACAAGATGCTTTTTACCAGCCAATCTTCCTTGTTGTTCAGATTTATTTTGATGCTAGTATTTCTTGTCTTATTGATCCTTGGTATTTTAAGAATTTTTCTGTTTGGAATTTCAGCTCAGAAGCCCCTATTTACTTCCTTAATCAACGACTGTAACATGGTTCATAACTCACATCCATATGTTGCTACAGGAAAGATAAATGCCCTCAAAATGTTGATTTTGATTTCCTTTCTGGTGCTTAACCATAGACTTTCAAAGCTGTTTAAATGTGATATGTTGTGGGTTCTTCATTTGTTTGTTTGTTATTTGAAAAATTTCAAATAAGAAGCAGCATTTCTGTTTTCAATTCACAGATTTTAGATTACCTCCATCAAACTTACAGTGGGTCAAGGTTAAACCTGGTGGACACATTGCTGGAGGAGACGGGTATGTTACTGGCGACCTTTCCTCTAATCTCTTCTGTCTTCCGACATGTGAATTAGTTAGAGTTAGAACTGAAAATATAAATTATTTTATCTTCAAGAAGAATGTTGAATTAAGAATCAACACCATAGCACTCGAGACACTCCCTTAAGTGCACAGTCTCTATCTTCAGCAGCAAGTGAAGAATTCCAGTTCTGATGGCACCAGTAACTGTCTGATTGTGTATCTATCTCATCTTTCACTTGAGAGCTGAGCGTTGGCCAGATCTGGTAACTCCACGCAGCACCATTGTCCTTAGACTGTAATAATATATCTGCTTACTGTTCACTCACTACCAAAGGGCCCTCACAATATCTAGCTTGTCATACATCAATTCACCACCGAGTGGTGCATAACCCTACCAGTCTATCTACCCGCTCATTTCCTAACACACCAGCATAACCTGGAAAATATCAAAAGGTTGCTAACTACCCAGGACTATTATCAAGAAGAAAGAACATCAGATGTCTTAAGATGTAGTTGTTGATTGTTTAGGTAGCACACTGGTTGTACATGTCGCACACTTCCTCTCAGATGTTTTCCATGATGCTTGATGTAAGATTGTGTCTTCCATTAGCGTTTGTTCATGTATAGTCTTCAAAATGTTTGCCTTGTCCATTATATTTATCCCTACAGTTTTGATAATTATTAAAACATTACATAAATGTTTTTGGTTTTTTTTTTTCATTGAATTACTTAGCTTTGACTGCCGCATGTCTGCATGGAAGAAAAGATGCTGTTCACTTCCTGTTGGAGGTCGGAGCGGATGTCACGGTAACAAACAGCAAGTCCTTCACCCCTCTGCTATGTGCTGCTAAATCTGGCCGCTGGGAGATCTGTGATATTTTGCTGGCCACTGGAGCTGAACTGGAAACCTCAGACAAGTATGGCCGAACTCCCCTGATGATTGCTGCGGGGGAGGGTCATATAGGCGTGGTCAACCTACTGCTGGATAAAGGTCAGAATGAAATGTATTTACATCCCTACATCCCTTTGTTTGTCCGTGTCTGTGGCTTAGACATTACGAATGTACCTCATATTGTTGAACTGCCAGGTTCTATCCCAGCTGCAGGCAATTTGGCAGCAGACCTTCAAGCTTGAGGAATTTGTGCCCACTTCACCCTGGAACCCCCGGGAAACCCCCCCCCCTTTTCTCCCCAACCCCCGATTTTTATGCCAGAAAAGGAGAATCCCGAAAAACCTTAAAAATTCAGACCCCGGGCCCCCTTGCGAGAATCCTCACAGTCTAAAACCTATAAATGTTTGTGTGGGGGGGGTGGGAGCTCTAAAAATTAAAAATTTCCCGGGCCCGCAGCTTACAGCCACCTCTTTAATTTTAAACCCAGGGGGAAATGTTTAAAGACAATGCCCCACAGACCCTTCAATTTTTGTTGCCCTTGTCAAACCTTTGGAAAAGGGTTATTTCCAAAAAATTTTAATTTCAGTCAGTTTTTCCGGGAAACAGTACAAAACTACAGCCTTCTTTAAAATGCATTGAGCTCCAAAGAGGGGTAACAACCCAGGCCCTGGATGGCCAAAGGGGGAAACCCCTTTCACCCAAGGCATTACCCTGCCCAAGAGCGGTAATTTCACCCATCATTAAGGATTTTCCCCATTATTAAGGGGTCCCAGCCCATTTAAATGGCCTTTCCCCCTTTAAAGTTAAATTTTTTTAGCTTGGCTCTTTAGGGTTTCATTTGTGCAATTTTTGGAACCCCCGGATTTTTTTTTCTGAAAATGTGTTTTTTGTTTTTGTGTGAAACCCTTTTTGGTGGGCAAAGGGGAAAAAAATTCTGAGAGGAGAGAGAAAAAAACATAGTTCGGGAGTAGTCCCCACCTTTGAATTTTTTTTTTTTTATAACTTAACACAACCCCCTTGGGAAGAGAATGAAAAAAGCGGATTGGGTGCGGCAGGGCCCCGGTGTTTCAAGGAAGCAAAGGAGTCAATTCCAAACTCTCAGGAGGCAGGTTTGGGAAATGATTCAGGAACTGTTTAGGCAAACTCAAAGCACAAGAACTTCAGGTAAAAGAGGGTTTGCCAACAAACACTTAACAGGTAGCCAAAAAAAAATAGTAACCAAACCCCAAAATTGTTTCACGCCCAACCCAGGGGGAAAAGAATGGATCCGAGGCTTGGACTTGGCATGGCAGTTAGGACAGTCTTTCAATTAACTAACTAATAAAACCCCCCGTTTCTTACCTTACACTTTCTGGTGGGTTTTTTAATCATCCTCTCGTCTCCATGCCAACTGACCAGGAGGCCCGCCCGACGCCCCGACAAGGAAAGGGGTTTACAGCCCTTTGCTGGGGCCCGCCGCGGGGCCAAGCTTGTTGTGGAGGCTTTGGTGCAGCGTGGGCAAGTTCAACACTTGGACAACAGTGGCCGCAGTCCCTTACATTTGGCAGCATTTTATGGAGATGCCACTCGGGTTTTCCGCTTGTGTTCTAATTATCTAATTGTTGGTTGTCGTCTTTTAAAAGTTTTTATATCAACAGTAATCCTAAAGGGCCCTTTTGTTTTTTTGCTTCAAAAATTGTTTTGGGCAGCTGTCTTAAATGTTTTTTATTCAAAAATTTTTCCCCCAATGTTCTTTTTTGGGTTTTTCTTAATAATTGTTGTGTCATCTTCTTTTAAAAGTTTTTTTTTAAAAAAAGTTCTCTGGGGGTGTTTGGGGTTCTTGTGTGTTTTCTCTCAAAAATTGTTGTGTCCTTTTTCTTTAAATTTTTTTTAAAACACAGTTAAACCCAGGTTCTTTTGTTTGTTCCTTCAATAATTGTTGTGTCAGTCTGTCTTTAAATGTTTTTTATATCAACAGTTAATCCCTAAGTGTTCTTGTGTGTTGTTTGCTTCAATAATTGTTGTGTCAGTCTGTCTTTAAATGTTTTTTATATCAAAAAGTTAACCCCTTTTGGTTTTTTCTTGTGTGTTGTTCCTTCAATAATTGTTTTGTCTCTGTCTTTTAAAAGTTTTTTTTTTTCCGTTAAACTTGAGTTTCTTGTTTTTTTCCTTTTATGTTATGTGTCGCGTTTCTTTTTTATTTTTATTAAATTGAGTTAAATATTTTCTTGTTTTTTTAATTACACTTTATAAAGTTGTTAATTGTTAAATTAATATCAGAATTAGAAACATCTGACTGAAACAATTTCAGAGCTTCAGCCACAGAAACGCGCATTTTGTGGTCTGGGCTTGTGTTTGAACATTAGTATCCATGACCAGAGCAAGACAAATTCACTGTCTGAAAATGACACTTAAAATGAGTCTGATAAATTTATGCCTAAAAAAATGAACAAATACTTATATCATCATCATCATCAGGTGCCTTGCCGACTGGCGTGGGTGATCATGCCTCTCCATAATCTGCAATCTCCTGCAGCATGTATCAGTTCGTGTGCCGACACACCTCCATGCCATGCAACAAGACTGTCAAGCATCTTCTCTCGTTGTCTTCCTCTATCTCTCCTTCCACAGATCTTTCCAGCGGTCACAACATGTTCTATTTTCCCTCTTCTCATAACATGGCCGAAAAATGATGACTGTCTCCTTCTGATGTCTGTGATAAGTTGTCTTCGGGCTCCCGCCTCTTTCAAAACCTCTTGGCTGCTCTTATATACAAAAGTAAAAACGTTAAGAGTAACCTTCTCTGAAAATTTTAATGGTAGTTCTAAACATTAAAAACGAATACAGAGCAGTATGCAAATCAAGGCAGACAGTGTGGTTAGATCAAATCGAAACTTCTCAATCAACACACACAACGTTGCTCGGGCCTGAAAGAGTTAATTATAATCGAATTGCTATTTATAAATGGTCAATAAAAAGATTAATTGGAAAAGTTGACAAACAGCAAGAGGGAATATCTTATAGTATTATTTATCTTTGACTTTATTATCATCTGTAATTTGCATGTACACCTTCTCCTCGACCTATGACCCATGTGACTTATACCGTCCGCACTTATGACCACAAAATAAATAAAAATTGTAAATAAAGAAAGAAAAATTCATTGGTAAGTCCATCAAAAAGTTCTCATCACTGATGCAGTAGGGTACATATTATGTATTTTTCACATTATTTGCAACAATTATAATTACATAGAATGAATTAAAGTGTTTTGTGTACAATTATTATAAGTTTGAATAAAAGTGGGTGTTGACAAAAATAAATTCAACTCACAATCTGTTGTTGATCGGAACAGAATTTGTAAACCAAGGAGACCCTGTGAATACATCTGTTGTTTTCTTTGTCTGACATTGTTCCTTGCCTAATGTCTGCTGCAGGTTCAATTTTTGATTGACCATGAAGCTCAGATAGAACACACAGACTTGAACGGTATGAGGGCCCTGGATCGTGCCATTGCATGTCGCAACACAGCCGTCATTGTCTGCTTTCTGAGGAAAGGGGCCAAGTTGGGTAAGTTATGAGTGCCAGTTAAAACCACTTAGTGTCTTGTTTCATAATCTTGTTTTATTGTATACTTGTATAATCTTTAATCATAATTATCATCATTTGCCATGATGGTAAACATATGGGGGGTCTTGGTATGCCATCTCACATGATCACCAAAATCTCACATTAGGTCTTGTCTTCTTGTTCCAGATATGCCTCAGGTTAAGCCACCCAGTAGAGTTTCAGCTCTTTATGTTAACTTTTCTGTTTGTTCCTTACTTTAAACCCATTCCCCCCCCCCCCCTCCCCCAATCCCATTGTGTTTTTGTTTTTTTCAAGAACTGCATTCCGTAGGATTAACACTTCTAGGTTGAGAATCAAATCTGTATAAATCCTGGAAGCCCTGTTTAACCAAAAACACAGGACAGACGTGGGTGAAAGGACATGAAAGCGCTGACAGGTTGGCCATGTCTGAAGTGGTTAGGGGAGTAAGAAGTTATGGACATGGCTGACGTTCTGAATGTGCTGCATTCCAGATACGCTCAGACAAAGGAGTCCCAGATGATAAACAGCCAGCTGGACATGGGTATTTTTCTTGGACAAGCATGTCCAAACCAGTCTTAGGCCAAAACAAAATATATAATCCAGTCAGCTCCTGCTGGGTACGGTGAGCATGGAAACAGCAGAAGTGGTTTATGAAGATGATGATGATGATGATGTAATCTCTCCTGTCTATGAATGATGAAATACAATCAGTTCAGTGATGTAGTCAGTGTCTGTTATGTTATTACAGGGCCCGACACCTGGACTATGGCTGCTGGAAAAACGGATGTCATGCTTCTGCTGTTAAACAAACTGATGGAGGATGGCAACATCCTTTACAAGGTAGGCACAGCAACACCTCCCACCTGGTACCTTACCAACATCTCTTGCAGGTTATTGATAGCAGCATCTTTCATATGATACTATACTTATTTCTTTCACAAGGTAGGCACAGCAACACCTCCCACCTGGTACCTTACCAACATCTCTTGCAGGTTATTGATAGCATCATCTTTCATATGACTACTAATTTCTTTCACAAGGGAGGCACACCAACACCTCCCATCTGGTACCTTACCAACATCTATGACATGTTACTGAGAGCAGCATCTTTGCTGCTGCTGCTCAGAACAGATAAGAGCATAGGGCTTTCATGTGATAGACCAATGTTCAAATCCTGGGTAAAGTTTAAGATTTGTTTCTTTCGGAGGCAAAAATAATATTCTAACATGCACAGTCCATGGCGACAGCACTGGTCCTGCAGTCCTAAATCCTTAGGCTCAAAGATCTATCTGCTTACACCTCGGAAATGGTTTTTACAGACAGGAATGACAGTTTTTAAGGCTGCTGCTGCTTTTGCTTCTTCTTCTTCTTCTTTCTTTCTTTCTTTCTTTCTTTCTTTCTTTCTTTCTTTCTTTCTTTCTTTCTTTCTTTCTTTCTTTCTTTCTTTCTTTCTTTCTTTCTTTCTTTCTTTCTTTCTTTCTTTCTTTCTTTTTATTCTTTTTCTTTCCCTTCCTTCTCCTCATTCTGTTGCTTCTTCTCAAC